AGTCCCCATGCTGCCTGTTCCCTGAAAGCAGCTGCAGAATCCCTCCCTCACTCCGCGGGTCTGTGTTTAGGGCTCTGGCTTGCTTACACAAAGGAATTCCAACTAGGAGTTCAAGGGAAGCCTGGCTTCCACTCTCCCATAGCCCCCAGCAGGCTGGTTCTGCAAAAAGATATTTCTATATTCAGTATTCTTATAGTATTTCTATAGAAATATCTGCTTGTAATTGTCAAGGTTTGACGCTAATCTTTTTAACTGACAATTACCAATACGTTAAAGGAACTATTAAACTGCAAAACTCAACCCATATGGGGAAGAGTGATTCTAGATAAGCAGTATGACCTTCTTCTTCAAGACTGGGTTCATGTATAAATACAAGGAATTTGTTTGTTTCTTTCTCTCTTTCAAAATAAATGTATTGAATGTGTAAGTGTCAAGCACTGTCCTTGCCTCTGAGGGTACACAGGTAAGATTCAGTGACAGCCCTCGGGGGCTCATAATTCAGGTCTCAACTTGTGCAAGAATAGAGACAAGTGCTAGGTGGGCAAGACTGAGGGAAGATGGGCTGATTAAGGCTGAGGGGTCAGAAGCCTTCACAGTGATGGTGTTTGAGTCTTTTAAAATACAAAATGGACCCTGAAAGAAGAATGATATCACCAGAAAGGAAACACTGAATACTTCCAAAATGCAAAACAACCTGAGACTTTAAGAAAAGCCTACGTAAGGATCAGGAGCTTGAGGACTATTACTGGCACTGTTAACAATTTGCTGGGTTCTTTAGGCTCTTTCCTCAAGTGTTCTGTAACTTCAGAGTGCCTTCTAAATAGAAGATGAAAATATTATTATAAAGTCTATTTAAATAAACCGCCTATATGAAAGTCACCTCTTTCCAATTTGTTGAAATAAGAGAGTCATAATATTTATTTCATCAAGGGAGTGTGAAGCTTAGTTGGGATTAATTTACTTCATTACTCCTTCCAGGGCACTTAAAAATTTATATAATCCCATATGTGGTTTGTAGGAACAGACATGAGGATTTGGTCAGAAACAGTATGAATAATTCATCAAGTTTTTTCATCATTCTTTCGAGTATAACCACCCTCACTCTAGCTTTTCCAGTCCCTCATTACAATGCACCTGGTCACTGGGAGAGCTTCGCAGAGGAAGGCCTCAGCCAATCCATTCTGCATGCTGCTGCCTCATTAATCGCCACAGAACCTTCCCTTGCAGGAGGATCCCCCATTGCCTCTGCACTCACTTAACTCATGATGCTCGAACAGCACGTACTGTTTACATATTTATCTGTTTCCTCAGGTAGATTGTGAACAATGACAGGTATGAACTTACTCATATTTTGGATCTCTAGCATCTTACACAGTAACTAGCAGAGAAGAGGTGATTAAATAAAGGTTTGTAAATGAGTGAGTGCACAAACCCTCTGCTTGTTACAAGGCAAAACCCAACCTGTGTCTCCTGAACATGTGACTTGCCCTCCTGTATTTCTCCTTTTGCTGCTCTCCCTCACCCCAACATCTCCCCTTTTCTTTCTTAATAACCTAATTTTATCTATTTAAGGAAGAGGTTTGCAACCTTGGCTGTACAGTAGAATCACTTGCGGGAGCTTTACAAATAAACACTGATGCCCGGCCCCACCGGCAGAGATTTTGATTCAATTGGTTGGGGTGTTGGTATTTTGTGAATGCTCTTGTGATGCGTCTCAAGTGCAGCCAGACTTGAGAAACACTGGTTTAAAGTGATACTCGAGTCTCACCTCCTCCTGAAAAGACTAACGTGCCTCTGATGAGTTTACCTTCCTTTGGATTCACAGTTACTGTTTTAAGCGCTTATTAGGTAACAAATCAAACATTGCCTTGTGACAGGACCTCAGTAGCAGTTTGCTCTTTAACTCTGCACTGCAGTTTGGTTATTCATGAGTGTATATATATATATCATCGCCCACACTAGATCAGAAGAACCTTGAAAGTAGGACTGTGTCTTCTACTTCTTTGCACCCCCACGCCATGCATATGGTGGACCAAAACATATTTTTGATTATTAACAAAAAACAAACAAAAAACTAGTAGAGGCCATCTTAATTGTACTCTAAGGACATGTCTTTGGTAAGAATAAAAATGTTGCAAAAAGGGTGGGGTAGGATTGAAGCAGAGTAGGAAAAGAATAAATAAAAGTCAAATGGAAAAAAAGCTAAATTAGTCCAAAAGAAAATGTTTCCCAGCTTCTTAAGAGGGTTTTTGCAAACACTGAAGCAGAATAAACAAGAGAATTAACTTGGATTGTGCCCTGATAAGGAGATTTCTTTCTTGGTTATATAATTTCACAAAGTTTCCAGGGTGTAAAGAAAATAATCAGCCAGGGAGGACTCCTTCCCTTGAACTATACAATTCAGCTCTTGGGTTAATCGGCTCGCAGATCTGCTCAGCTTGACCTGACACCCTTCCAGCCCTGTGATCTCAGACTAAGTATTCAAAAGACTCGTATTCAAAAGCCCTGGTGTAGAGTTCAATGTCATAGAAACGGGATAAAATGTAATCCTCATTCCATAACCTTGATCCCTTGGTGTAGTGGCCTCTGCTTGTGCAGTGGGGAAAAAAAGAAGAAGCTATACCTGGTATATGCTCTCCTAGTGGCTGGTGTTTCATAGGTCTGCCTACCCTAGAATGATTCAGGCATGTTCTCCTACTAAGTAGTGTTATAAGGAAGTATTATTCAGAGCAATTACCTTAAAGACTAGCTTTAAAGTATTGTCTTGTGCACATATCCCAGAAAAGGTTTATCTTCATCTGGCTTCTCTACTTTGTCATGGAGTGAGACCACAGGAAAGGCTCAAAGAATCACGAAGTGCACCCTCTGCTAAGGCAAGATAAGGCATCAGATAGAAACATGTTTTCTATATCAAACTTTATCATAGTTATTAGGCCACAAATTTAACAACTGGTCCCAAAAGGCATGCACGTTTCCATTGACTAGTTAAATGTAAGTTCTTTTGCCTGGGTTGGCCATTTTAACACTGGTCATACTTTACTTTAATTTCTAATTACTGATTGAAAACATAATTCAAAGGCACTTAACTCTGCTCTTGATTGATTATTAATGATAATAGCAAGTTGTCCTTTGTAGATTAAGATAACACTACTGATTCGTCTAATAGGATATGAGTTGATAAACTGTCACTGATCCATCCACGCTTTGCTCCTGGTTCTTCTCGTGACCAGCGGCCTGCATTTGACCTTATGAGCCAAGAACCAACAGTCACCAAAATCCTCCTGTCACCAAAGAGACACAAAATAATAGCATTTGTCCTACCAGCTAGTTCCTGTTGACACTGACAAAATGGAAATGACCGGTTAATTTCTTAAAATAAAAGGAAAAAAATGTGGCTCTAACTTCTTTGTTTACTAATAAATGCTAACTTGGATTAGCAAAATTAGGATCCGGAAGCCTGAAATCCATGATACTATATATAGCAGACTGAATCATAAAATCAGTGTGTGCCATCTAAAATCTAAAACAGAGATAAACTACAAGTTTCAAGGAGTGGGGTTAAGGGTCCATGAAAATGAATGGATTCACAAGGAATTTTGCTTCCTCAAATTAGAGGTTAGGTAGTAGTGCTTGACTATCCTTAATGATATCCCTGATGGCTGCAAACAGGGTTTATTTAACATAATTTACAACCTAGGGTACAAGCCAAAGGTCATTAGGTTCTATAGGAATATTTTTGGATGCGTTCCACTGAAAAGAGAAGTCATGGATTCAGAACCCAGGATACTTGAATCATCAGGGAAAAGGCATCACTGAGGTAATGAGCACGCCAGGGCCTGAAAACTCAAGAATGTTCCCCTAAATGAAAACAAGCAGCTCCATCTTCTCAGATCATGGCTGACTCAATCACCAAGCTGGAATGTTATTTACACAGTCCTAAGCAAACCAAGAAGAATCTTCTAGTCTGTAACCAACGGCACTCGGAAAGTTATGTCTGAAAGAGGCAAAGGCTCATGTCTGTTTTTGATGATTCCCAACTCTTGAAAAAGAGCCAATTTACCTAATGTAGGTAAAGGGCAACAACTTTCTCCCCAGCACCTCCTCCAGAAAGGACCACCAGCATGATATTTTGTGCCTCTTTAATTATAGTTTGGATTTGTTATATGTTTAGCAAGATGGGCAAATCTGGGTTCTGAATTCTGCCCCAGCCAACAAGTCAGAATAATCACACTTTTCTTCCTGCTCCTGCTTGCAGGAGAGGTTGTGGTAGAACATGGTCCACGCAGCAGGATAAAGTTGAGGTTAGATATCACGAAAAATAAATTTCCTAATTATGAAACATTTTACCAAAGGCATCAGACTGTGGTGTCCCTTTCTTTGGAGAGGGAGGGAAGATTAAGAAGGGGGTAGAAAGCAACCTGTCTGGATGGAAGGGGAGAATTCTCACTGGAAGCCAGGATAGAAACCATAAATAGGGAGCTCTGAGAGAATCATCATCCTTTTGGAGGTTTCTCTAGCAACACCTATAACTTTACCTTAGATCTGGGGAATAGTTTATTCACTTGTTAGGATCTGTCTGGCCTAAGGCTTTCAAAGCATACTAACCTCAAGAAAAAGCACTATCACTATTTAATTTGTACACAAATTTTCTAGTCCTCAACAAACACCAGCTAAGTGAAACCACTCTTCAGAGATGGAGAGTTTGAGATTCCCTAGCGGTGTGGACTCTGTTCACCTACAAGATATTGACAAATATCAGGAGGCATGCTAACTCTCTGGTGTCTATTCTTACATATTTTTTCCTGTGTGTGACTGGTCTCCCCACTTTATTATAACTGCTGTTGGGGCCGGCAGGGATTCTGATTTCTTTACCTACTTCTTGACTGTGTTGGCCCAGGAGAGACAACGCAGCCAATGCTTTCAGAAGGTGAACACTCAGACTGCTAGGGACATCTTGTTCTCTGACCTTGACAGTCAGACAACATTGTTAAAGCACTCACCTGTCTTCTCTCTGAGCCAAGGTACTGGAGAATCAGCCGGGTGTTCACACTGTGACTCCAGGTGTTTCCTAGTGCAGCTGTCACACAGCTGGACCCAGAAGTACCTGAAATGAAACGGCAAAACCATGATTATGGGTGCCCTTTCTTATAATGGTGTTTCATTTATACAAAAGTCCAGTCATTGCTCATTGCTCAAGAGAGTACTCAGGGGCTCAGTTTATTACCACAAAATTTGATGAATTAGAGAAGAAGGAGAGAGGTTAAGGAATATGAGGCTAAAAATAAAACCCAGCATGAGTTTCCTTCAGCCTCAGTGTAAATGACCACCACTGGGCTAAAAGATAACAGAGTTATCTATCAATAAGAGATTGCATTGCAAGGCAGCTTGGAGCCATTGCTCATACTAAATCAAGTCACTCAATATCCATGGCAGAAAGGCATAATGCTACTACATCGAATAAAAGCCAGTTATGAAACAGTCTTAGTTTAATAGAGTTGTAAGACTTTTTTAGCTTGATAAGAGTCTTAATTCAATTTTCCTTATCAATATAGAAATGGTTGCATATGCATATAAAATTCCTTTGCCCTTCCAACCCCTGCACACATACACACACCCAGAAGAGGAATCTGGAAGATCTCACCATTTGATACCAATTTGTATTAGACATCCTTATCCCAAGAGAAACATTCTTTTACTTTCTAAGACTTTCCTATATGATGGAGGATCTGAAGTAAACTTTATCTGAGCTTCTAGTCTACCCACGTTGCACTTCAGCTACTATCTTACACCTTCAGAGCTTCATTGAGCCCTCTTGACATCACCAGGGGGAAACCATTCCTGCTCCCCTCCTCTTCCACCTCCTTAGAGGCAAGCTTGCAAGTCCCACCACTTAGAAGCCAGCCCTCACTATCACATCTAGCACGTTCTGAGGTCTCCTCCAAACTCCTGTGCCAATTTTGGCCCTGGGCCATGGGATGAATCCTAGCCATAGAGGGCACAGTGGGTTTGCCTTGTATCCTCAAGATGCCATCTCTTTTCAACGAGGAGACTAAGTACAGAGAGGTTGAAGTCTATTGAATTGGCTAAAACAAAATGAGGCCTTGAGTTTCTCATCATTACCTTCTCACTGCATCATCTGATTTTCACCCCTCAGTATGGAGTAGGAATTGGTCCTCTTTTTCTGGGCCAGACATCTTTCAGGGTGGTCTACCAACTTTGCATGGCCTTAAGCTCCTGGGCCCAAACACTACAACAGATGAATGTGGTTCAGTGGTTCTAGGCTGGAAGTGATTTTGTTGGCAATGTTGAAGTGGGAGTGCACTGGCATTTAGAGGGTAGAAGCCAGTGATGCTTCTCAATATCCTGTAATGCAAAGGACAGCCCCCCACAACAAAGAGTTATCCAGCCCAAAATATAACAGTGCTGAGGCTGAGAACCCCGGGGGAGATAACACCAACCACATATGTTCTCTGGTTAAGCAGGTGCAGGAATGAATTGGACGGAAATCAACAGCTGGGGCCTCAACAAGCCCGAGAACTCAGACTGAAGGAGAATTTGGCATAGAAAAGAATAAAACTCAGGGAGACTTTCGTTCATTATGCACACAGTTCAAAACATAACACAAATTAATGTGAAAACAAATAATCTACAGTGTACTGATCTGATCACATCACTCCCTTAAAATTCTTTGGCAGTTTTCTGTGCCTGAGGATAAAATACTAACTCCTGAACAATGCCTTCTGGGCACTTCACCATCTGCACCTATATCCCTCTAAGCTCCCTCACCGGATGGTCTCCGGTAACCTCCTGACTTCTCTGTCCCCATCCTCCTTGACCTTCTGTCAGCAGTTGATAAAGCTTCCCTCTCCTTTGGCCTCCAATATACTGGCCTCTTCTGCTTCCCCTTGTACCACGTTGATTGATCCTTTCCCTTCTCTGCTTCTCTTCTCCCTATCTTCTTAGTTGTGGTGGACCTCAGGGAGCTGGCCATGACCCAAGTTTTCCTGTCTCACACCCAAATGACTCCAGTGTCTAGGAAGGTAATGTACATTAATGAAGAGGCCAGTTTACATTTTAACATGTTGAAATTCTTTACGACCACAAAGAGATGTACTCTCTTCCATTTTGCTTGAAATGTGTAATCCTCTCTGTCTTTCATTTTCCCCCTTTTTTTTTGAGGAAGATTAGCCCTGAGCTAATATCTGTTGCCAATCTTCCTTTTTCTGCTGAGGAAGATTGGTCCTGGGCTAAATTTGTGCCCATATTCCTCTCCTTTATATGGGACGCCACCACAGCATGGCTTGATAAGTGGTGTGTAGGTCTGTGCCCAGGATTCGAACCTGCAAACCCCGGGCCGCTGAAGCAGGAGTGCGCGAACTTAACCGCTGCACCACGGGGCCAGCCCCCCTTATATTCCCCTTTTTGAAAGAGGCACATGAACAGAGAAATATTTTCTGCTATAAAAAAACTGACATTGCAAGGGCAATAGCTACTGATTTTTCTTTTTCTTTTTTTGCATTTTTAAAAAGCAGCTTTATTGAGATAATTCACCTATTCACCCATTGAAAGTGTACAGTTCAATGGCTTTTACCATTTCCACAGAGTTGTTCAACCATCACCACAATCAACTTTAGAACATTTCATCACCCCAAAAAGAAACCCCATCTCCCTTAGCCATAAGCCTCCAGCCTCTCTTTCCTGCCTCCCAGCCATGGGCAACCATTAATCTACTTTTTTTATTTAATCTTAAGTGTTAGGAGATGATAGGGAGTTGTGGAGACTGAGGAGAATTAGAAAATTTATCCACAGTCTCAAGGGGACAGCCCCTGTCCCGCTCCAGCTGTTGCTGTCATGTGGCAATACAAACTCATAATTAGCCACATCTTTTGATTTTTAAAAGAGAACCCAGAAATCAACATGTTAAGAATGTGATTTTAAAGTGTTGGCTTAATTTTTAAATTTTTTAAAACACACAAATAAACATGCTTATGAGCCAGATGAACTCATTCTCAACAAGCTTGCAATGTCTGCTCCATATGGCATGGCCTCACTGTTGACAAGGATGACACCCCCATGTGGATGATTTCCAAGCCTTTGTCTCAACCTCTGACCTGCCTCAGCACCTGTCCTCCATTTTCAACCACAAGAACTGCAGGCCTGACCATAATGAATTTTAGCACCACAAATTCAATCCCTTCAAATCAAGCTCATATCTTTCCACATAAACTTACTCTTTCTTTGTCTCTTTCTTTGGTCTTCCAGTTAATCTGGTTTGAAATATCAGTTCTATTTTTAAATTTCTCCTTCTCCCATGCTCCTCACTTCCAATAAACTGTGAAGTCTTATTGATTTAACTGTAAAATTTCACCTCCATCCATTCCCTACCCTCCATTCCTCCTACCTCAACCTTCCATCAGACCCACATTAGCTTTCACCTGGGGATGAGTGCTATAGTCTTCTAACTGATCTCCATGCTGCTGTCACAGTGTCTCCCTACAAAAGCCCATCTTCTCTTCTACTGCCTGATTAACTTCCCGGAGCACACATCTAAGCATGTTATCCTGCCACTTATGATCAGCGTACTCAAAAACTTTCAACGGCTCCCAAGTGCCTTCACAGAGTTCTAAATCCCTAAGATTGGCATTCAAGGCTCTTCTAGCCTGTGCCCAACCTGCCTTTACACACCTCTCCCTTCCATCCTGTTTCATGTAGATTTTGCTCCAATTTAATCACTACTGCCCCATGTCCCCTCCACACTTGGAATGCCTCTATGTCCACATGTTGTCCTCAATACCATTTCCTACTTGCCCCCTCCCTGATCATCACAGAAATAACGTCTTCCTCCTCTAAACGTCCATACTACTTTCACTCTGTCATGTTACTGTCATTTGTCTATCCTGTGGCAAATTACTTGTGTGCTTTTCTTATTACCTCCAATATATATTTTCAGAGGGCCAAACCCATGTCTGATTTATGCTGGTATGCCTGAATCACTTAACCCAAGGTCTGAGATACAGAAGATGCTTAATAAACACTGGTTAAATAAATAGTTAATAAGTTATTCTTCTAAACTTCGAACCATGTCATATACTTGTTTTAGCAGCAGATTTACATTCTTAATTCTATCTTGCTTAAGCTAAAATTAATAGGTTTACATTTGTCAAGCAAATTCTACAAGCTTGCTGCCTAGATGCCTGCTAAGTGACGGGAGGAAGTGAGGCTGAGCTTTAAAGTCCACCAAGGAAAAGCTGTGTGTGAATAATTAGGAGTTGCTAATTAGCTAAGCACTCAAAAAGTTTTCTTGGTAATAAAACTATAAGAGCTTCCCAGGTCTAGAAGATGTTTTCAGAGCTCAGAGCCACATTTGGCCAATAGTGACTATTTAAAGAACTCCACGTCCCTAAACCAATGACAATAGTATAAGAAAGTACCCATACACTGGCTGTTTCCTGGACAGCTAAGCTCAGGTCCCAACTAAGGTCCATGAGTGCAAATGACCATGGAAAATGGAAACCCTGAGTGAACAAGCTTGAGGAGATACGTTTTCAGGAGTGCCTACAAACATTAAACCACCTACAAGAGCAATAACAGCAGGGTCTTAAAAGTTAATGATAACAAAAGACAATATTTTTGAAGTACTGTAGGCTAGGCCCTAGATAAGCCCTTTACAGAGGGAGGGCTTACGTCTTGTTTGAGCTTCATATCTTAGTCACATCTTTTCTGATCCCCACACTACCCTATGAGGTAGGTAATAGTATCATCCCTATTGACAGACTGAAGCTATGAGAGATTAAGTAACTCTCCCAAGGTCACATGGTTGCTTAATGACAGAGCCAATGTTTGAAACCAGGCCAACTGAGTCTTAACCACAACTCTAATTAGCCTTCTCCAGGCTCATCATGTCAAATAGCCTGCTACTCTGCCATCCCAGCGGGTCTGTCTGAAGGGCCTGAGGAGCCGAAGGCCCATCTCTGGGAAGACACTGACAGAGGTGTGTTGTGAGCATCTTATCTTATCTCATCTGCACTCTGCTGTTACTCAGGCTCCACATTTGGCTTCCTCTGTTCTGATGTACAGTGATAACCCAGGGCAAGGGGTTTCCAGAAAGACATGCATGCTCTGGCTCGGCAAGTTATTTAACCTCGCTCAAGTGGCCCAGCAGCTGGATTCATGCAAATCAGGTGGCCTAAAACTGACCCTTTCTGCTTAGAGGCTTAAAAATCTGGTCAGGATTAGAAAGTTATTTCACTTAATAGGGCCTCAAATATGGGAAAACAACCGAAGAGTGGTTATAGGTGGTGGGACCACTTGAGCAAGAACTGGGAGAAGGGGAAGTGGGGAAGCTGTCTATTTTCAACTAGAAAACTCAGTGGTCTCATGTCTTCCAACTTTCAAGCATTCCTATGCAAGGGCTGGCATAAATGATCATTAAAACTGTTTATGGGAAATTTAAGGTAGAAGGAATTTGTTTACTGGCTTTTCAGAAAAGGTGATTTCCTGCCCAATGACCTAATTGGTCAGGAAATAGATAAGTAAAGTGAATCTTCTCTATGCTCATTTTAAGCGGAAGTTCTAAAAATTGGGGTGCTCTCTCCCCTCTCGTCTTTTTGAGGACTGTGACATTTAAAAGTGCCAAGGCAGAATGACTTCATTCTACTGGAATTTGGTTGATTTCGATACAAATAAAAAAATCAAATAAGTGAACTGGGTTTTGAAAATATTTTAATTACTGGAGATTTTTCACTGTCACAGGATTGAGCCTGTAGAAGCATCTGGGTAAGCTACATAGAGAAAATCTAATTTATTTACACTGAAGTCAGGTCTCTCTAAAAATACTATGGGAACATTTGTTCTCCACTCTCTCAGAGACACTTTTAGGTAAGTCAAAGCATGTTCTCTTTCTGTGATTGCTTACCCATCTGTAAAATTGTGAATAATAATTCTTGCCTCCAGGCAACCAGAGATTCTTGGTGATCCTTAGATAAAGATACTTGATAAGTATAAATGACAGGAACAATGATGATCAACACTGAAGATGAAATTCTAGGGGGAAAAGAAATTTAATCATCCTCCTTTACTTTTTTTTTTTAATCTGCTAATAATGAGGCAAGCCAGTGAAGCTCAGCAACAAAGTGGTTAAAACAACAGGATTTGGATTCTGGAATATCTTTCATGACTAGTATCTTTTGGATCCAGTTCCCCACTCCTCTGGAGTGGGAGTTGGTTATGAAGACAGATTTCTCACAAGGCAAGGGGCTCTCTCTCTGCTCTGTGCACAGGGTGTAGTCCTGGTGCAATCAGACTGGAGGAAGATAATCAGGTTGCTATGTAGCCTTGACTTCCAAAAAGGTAAAGGGCCTCTGGTACCAACCCGTGTCAGTATTTACAAGGGGCCTGTTGGGGAACTTCAATGAGGAAGCTCCTTCTCTGAAAACATTTCAATTTATGACTCCTGTGTTAAGCATTTCTGGGAGGTCAAACTGAATCTCCAGTACATAACGTAAAAGTGTCTGCCCTGTAGCAAAAGGGTCAACTTTAAAAGAATAGACTTTTCCATGTTAAAAAAATAAAAGTGTAAACAAAGCAGTGACTCCCAGAATAGGAACAGAGGGGAAGGAAAAGTTCATGGCCTGAGAGGGCTAGATATTCTGGACATTTGGTCCCTCCTGTTCCTTCAGATGAAAGGCAACTTACGGAGACTAGAAAGAGGCAATTTTTTTAAAAGAAAGAAAAAAATACCTAAAAATGTTTTCAGGACTGAACTAAGTTCAGGGAAGGAGATGGTATGTTACCAACGGAATTGACATTCTCTTCTTATCTCTTGTCCTCACGTCCTGAAGCATGTTCTATATGGTGCATGATAGCATATAGTCAGCTGCTCGCTAGGGGGAAGGCCCCTGGAGCTCTATTTCTGACTTAGCTGTGGGCTTTTGGTGAGACCAGATGGGAGAAGGAGAATGATTTAACAAAGAACATCCGAGTGGGCCTTGGTAATGACCAGTTACTTCACCTCTCTGAATCTCAGTTTCCTCATCCATGACAAGAAGGGGTTGTTCAAAATAATCTCAAAAGTTCCTGTCTGTACTAAGAACTTTGAGTCTATGGTATTTTGATGACAAGAAATTAGTCCCTCATTCCAGACCTCACTTTAATCCAGGAGGTTTGAGAATGCTCTATTCCACATGCTGTCTTTGAATGGCAGTGCCCTACCCAGCATCTATTGAAGCCTGAAGAGAGTACAGACATGTGGTCCTTTTCCTAAGAGCAGACTTCTCTCCAGACTAGAGATTTTCTTAGTCTATCCTACCTACTAAAACCTTATGATGGGTAAACATGTGTTGGCCAGTGGCCAAGCCCCAGCAAACACAACTTCATAATAACAAAGCTTAAAGATGGGAGACTGAGTGAGAGACTAGGGATTAGAAGGGGATCATCATTCATTAAATTCAGTTTCTCCTGTTTAAAACCAGGCCCATGGAAGTTGCTGAGCTTTAGCATATGTTTTTTGTTGGGTCACTCATTTGTACTGGGGAAGTGACAGAGAATCTTGGTTAGCCCCAAGAAAAAGATGAAGTAGCGACATATTTACTTCTGCTTTTCCTAAGTTTCCCAGAGTAGCCTAAATTCCCTCTGTTAATGGATCATCTGCTCTTGTTCTATCTGACGCAGAAAGCCAGAATTTCAGCAACCAATGTCGAAGAGGATGAATGGGATACAAAAGAGGGAGGAAGACTGCCTAGGATAGGCTATTTCTAGAATAAGGATTCAAGATGACCTACAAGCTTTGTGAGGCCACAGGGCAAAGTATCACATAAAAGAGATTGTGACTGGCTCAGACACCTATCCTCCAGCAAAATTAATTTCCTTGGGGGCTTGTGGTTCACTAACTGAACCTGTGAACCAGCTGTATTCAGTGTTGCACTCTACTTCCTCAGGCCTCTAAAATCGACAATGGTCTGTAGGTTAAATTCTAACGGAAGTGATATTTCTGATCTAGCTCTATAAATAGAGCACTGGAAAAAACCCATCAGCTGCAAATGGCCCAGGGATCACACACTATCTATTAAGTAAGTAACCGCAGTATCTTGTGCTGCCATTTTAGATGAGAAAAAAAATATCTTTTGTTATTTATAATCTTCTGAGCTTTGAGATTCTCAAAATACTTTAAAGCTATTAGTCTTCTTTCAGATTTACAAATAAAGGTTTTGAGGCATAAAACCACACAATAACTGCATCAATATCATCTGCCCACTGAGAAATGCATTTGGCCTGGTAAAGAATAAGGCTCCTTCATTTTGGTAAAGCAGAAAATTTCATTCCCAGTGTCTCTTGGCTAGAGGTGAAAGAGGTGAATACAGTCCAGAGTCTTCACTTGCACAACATACCTAGGCTGATCCAAGTTTCAATAAATCTCATTACTGAGGAAGGTAAGAAATGTGAAGACAAGAAAAGGTGGGGCAATCAGAACCTTTGGAATGCTAGAGTGAGGGATAGATTAATCCTCCACAGCAGAAGGTAGAGACAGAGTTAGCTAGTTACTAGGATAAAGACTGGTATGCACCAGCACAAACCACTCAAACAACTCCATTGGCTTTTACCGGGGGGGGGGGGGGAATACTTTAAGTTTCCTAGAGTCTTAGAGAGGTCATATAAGTTATCATCCAACCAGGACACTTTTGAAAATGAAACCGGGAAATTTTAATAATTATAGGGAGATAAAGATAAACCAGGACTGTTCTGGGCAAACCAAGATGTATGGTCCCCAAATAGAGATGCCACGTAGGAAACGTCCAGAATCAGGATAAGGATGCTCACCCTACAAGAAAATGGTCAGTCTGCAAACCATCTCATTTGCCAACTGAAAGTTCTGTAGGGGATAGTGTAGAGGGCTTCTCTGCTATGTTTGCAGTGACAATCATCAAGGTCCTCAAAGTTAGCTAGGAACACAGGGACAGGCCTGAGAAGAACAGAACAGAAAGAAGAACAGAAAGAAGCAATCTGTCCCCACCCAGCTCAGCTTCCAATATTCCCCAGGAGGCCATGCCCCTGAATTCTTTCTCTAATAACACAGCTTTCTCCTGCTACCTTCTATTTAAGGGGAAAAAAGTCCTGAATGGTGACCTGTAGCTAGGTCTCCCGACCCTTTGGATAGAACTCTTTAATTAAAAATAAATTCACTCACTAGAGAAAACACATACGATTCTTAAGTAAATACTAGCAAAATAAAACAAAGAAAATGAAAACCCAACCATTTGAGGAAATCTGAGGCATTTTCTTTTTGAATTTAGGCTTCATTCAGTATAAGCCAGGAAGATGCTTATGTAAAATGGGTTTCCACAGCAACGTGTTCTATCTGCTCACTGTAAGTGAATCCAAATCATGCCCATCAGCCATCTTGGTATGAGCTTTGCTTTTCCATTCTCATTCTAGAATCTGAGGCAGCAGGAAGATACCAGAGCTGGATTCTAGTAAGTCTTGTGTATTATACACAGTCATCACCTCATTTTTTGACCATTTCATACTTTTTTCAGGTGATGCCGGCTGAAGCAGATGAAATACCGCCACTTACTTTGATTTCAGATATAGTCCTGGCTGCTGGGAAAAAAATCACCAGATGTGTACACGCAGCCAACTCCCTTGGAGAAAGCTGGGAAGGGTAAAAAGCAGCATATCCATGATCAGTAACTCTTCCGGGCACAATTTAAACTATAGTGAAGTCATATTTGATAGCTCTACATATCCAAGGAACTAGTCTGAACAATGAGTAAGCCAGGTGACAGCCACTTGACAGAAGAGCAAAGGCACACAATAACAGTCGTCGGGTTTGCTTCTGGGAAATCAGCTCACAAGGCAAATCTAGGACCAGGAGACAGGGTCCTTTCCCAAGGCCTTGGCTGATGCAGAATCAGGCCCAGGTAAGTCTGCTTTTGCTTCAGGCTGGCACAGGATCACTGGCTCTTTGCAAGTAATAAGGACAGAAGGGAAAAAGAAATGCTGTTGTTTATCAGGAAATATATTCTTGAAAAAAAAATATTTCTTTGAAAACATCAGCAGCTTAAAATATCCTTAATGCAAAAAGACATTTCAACTAAAAACAACATCTAATCCTGGTGTAACCACAGGACCAAGAACAGAATTTGTCACCCCAAAATATGCCTCTTTGGCATAAGCATTATTTTAGGCTGATTATTTTTAAGAAATAGCAGGCACAGGGAAAAGCTCTGAAAACCTAGTAGAAGTTACCTATTTGCAAGGGAAAGTTTTCTCTTTCACCTATTTGTAAGGTAACTTCTACTAGGTTTTCAGAGCTTTTCCCTGTGTTTCCTGTTTCTTAAAAATAATCAGCCTGAAATAATTCTTATGCCAAAGAGGCATATTTTGGGGTGACAAATTCTGTTCCTGGTCTCAGGGTTACACTGGACTGGATTTTGGATCATAAAAAAAAAGAAAAAAACTGCCATAAGGGACATTATTGGGACACCTGGTAAAGTTTGAGTATGGCTGGTACATTAGATAATAGTATTATATCACCACATTTCCTGGGTGAGATCATTGTACACTGTGGTTATGTAAGAGAATTTCTTGTTCTGAGGAGATAAATGCTGAAGTATTTGGGGATGAAGGGTCATGATGTCTACCACTTACTCTCAAATGATTCAGCAAAGATAACAATAATAAAGTAATATTATAAAAATAAACCAATAAAAATAATGAGGGCCGGCCCCGTGGCTTAGCGGTTAAGTGCGCGCGCTCCGCTGCTGGCGGCCCGGGTTCGGATCCCGGGCGTGCACCGACGCACCACTTCTCCGGCCATGCTGAGGCCGCGTCCCACATACAGCAACTAGGAGGATGTGCAGCTATGACATACAACTATCTACTGGGGCTT